TTGAGACAGGGTCTCATTATATAGTTGAGACTGACCTGGAATTTACTGTATAGCCCAGGCTGTTCTCGAACTCACGGGGATCCTCCTGCCTCAGCCTCCCAAGTGCTGGGATTATAGGACTGCACCACCACGCCTGGCTGAAAATCTGCTTTTAAATAGAATAGGAAGTAAATTTTGTTGGCACATTCGTTGTGATGGTTAAACTTGTCGGTTGACTGGGTTAAGAGACAGTATAATGCACCTCTCGGTATGGCTGTGGGCACATGATCTTGGGATCTACAGTATATCTGGTTCCAGGCCCATTCCTCTCTGGTGCTATTTCCCTGCTTTGTTTCTTGGCCACCAAGAAGTGAGCTGCTTTCCTCCACCATGCCCTTCCTCTATGGGGTTTCTGCTTTGGAGCCAACTGTTGTGGCTTGTGTCTAGATGTCCTGCCAAAGCCTCATGAAGTCATAGGTGGATGGATCTAGAATGTGCGACGCTTGGATGAAGGGCATGTGATTACTAAATTAGTCCAGCGATTGGTGTGGCCTAGTTCTGGATGTGGATAATGCGAAGGCCCACCTTGGGTGTGAGTGCTACCCATCCTAAGAGCTGGAAGCCTGGATAGAGTACAAGGAGCAGAAAGATGGCTGATGCCATCACTTGCTGCTGCTACTGCCTGCTATACCCTGCTTGTGGCTTTGCTGCTTCCTGCTTTCCCTGCCATATCATGGACCATTTCTCCTCTGCAATGTACCTCTGCCAGGCCACCCTGTGGAGGAGCTAGCCAACTACGGACTGAAACCTCCGAAAACTGTGAGCTAAATAAGCCTTTCTCCCTTTAACTTTGGGTGTCAACAAGAAAAGTGATTAAGACACCAACAAAATATGGACTGAAACCTGTGCACCAAAATAAAACTCTCCTCCTTTAAATTGTACATATCAAGCATTTTGGCCACAGCAATGAAAAGCTGACCAATACATCAGTAAAATATTATGAAGATATTTTTATTATTTATCCTTATACTTCTGGATTTGGAAAGCAGTCTTCTCTCAACTATGATAACAATAAAGAGGACATTTCCTACTTATCATTCTAGGTGGGTACATGAAAGCATTCCTCTTGACCAAGTACCTCCCCAGTCTGGACTTAAGCATATGGGAATAAAGGAAGTGTGACATCAGGTGGGGTTTCCTTACTGAATTTGACCATTTTCAACTGAAATTACTACAGCCCGTTGGTGTATATAGACTCTGATTTTGAGTAGAGGTTTATTATAAAAGTTCAGATTTATAACATTTTATAGTGACCATCAAGAACTTTCTATAAAATCACAGTCAAGGCAGTGTAGGAATAGCATAAAGATGGCCCTGCAGAATAAAAAAGAAAATCCAGAAATAGACCCAACCTTACACAGTCATTTCATATCGACAAATATGCCAAAGCAGTGCAGGAGTAAAGGAAAGCCTTTTCAACAAATGAAGAAAAAAGAGGAAACTGGTTTATCTATATGAAAAAGAAATTGTTCTTTATCTCACACCACACACAAAACTTCACTCAAGATGAAATAGATCTAGTAAATATTAAAATTATATTTCTAGCTTAGAAGAAAGCACAGGAGAATAGAGTTGGTCACTTAGGGTATAGGCAAAAGTCTAGTAGGACATGGAATATAATAAATATAAAAGAAAAAAGTGGATAAAATAAACTTCAAAATTAAAACACATCTTTCATAAACATTGCTAAGATAATGAATAGGCTATCTACAAACTAGATAAAATATTTGTAAAACATATGTATGCTTAAGGAATGTGTCTAATCGACACCAACAGTTCCCTAACTTAATAAAACACAAACAACCCAACACAGGGTACTTGTAGAGAAATAAGGTCCAATTTATATTTAGTATAGAAAAACAATGTTACCCGAAAAAAAAAAAAGAGGTAATCCAATACCACTACAACCCTCACATTTTACCCAAACTTTGAATATAATGGAAAAATATTTTAATTTTTTAAAAGATAAGATTAGCTAGCATATGAATTTCAAAAAGATAATATGATATAAAAATAAAAATTTCTTTGTATGAGCCTCATCTTAATTAACTCTTAACAAAGTATGGCTAATACAATTCACCCCCACAAAAAGAAGTCACACAAAAAACCGAGTTACATATAATAATCTTTTAATTTCATAGTCATTTTAAAAAATATAAACCACTTACATATTTTGAAAAACATCCACAGAATAATCATGTAGCAGTCATAATATTGCAAAAATAAAGTAACATAAAATGAATTGCATGATTAAAACAAAATACCTTTTGCTGAATCACTCTGACTCGAAACACGATCACTAGAAAGGTTAATGGACCAGCACTGCCATGTTTTCCATTAGTAAACATCACTACAATCAGGCACAAGACCTATTCCCACGAGACCATTCCATCCCTTTGCAGGAAGATGTGCAATGTATAGATGTCATGTTAACATCTTGAGTTTAGCTCCAAAATACCATTGTTCTTTTTTCTCTGAGAGACAAGTTCAATGACAAAGTAGAATAGTGAAGACCTTGGGACACAACACATGCCTGGATCACATCTCTCCCACTAGTTCTAAAACATAACATAGAGAAAGATGTGTACTTCACTGTCCAACACAACAGCCACTAGCCCTATGTACTTATCTAAAATAACAATAATGAAAATTCCATAAAAATCTACATTTTACTTCCTCAGTAACAGTCGCCACATTTTAAGTGTTTACTACTTGTTACCATATTGGACACTGCAGATATAGATCATTTCTATCATCACAGAAAGTTCTTTTGGACAGCCCTGGATGTGGGAAGTGTTTCTTCTCCCTTTGCTTAGCCAGGGTGTAGGCTGCTTGTGGAAGCAGCTTGGAGAGGCAATTCTCCCAGGATATTCCTAGATTGGTGGTGGAGTCACAGAAGGAAGTGAGGTTGTCTTTCTTTGCATGTCAGGGATGGTCATTTACAGGGATCAAATACGCACTCTAGATTCCACCCCAATCTAACTGCAAGGAGAATTGAGGAGGAGATAAATGATACATGTGAGGAAGCAGCAAAGTGCAACATTCTTTATCCTATATCCAACCCCCATATAGAGATCATGTCCACCAAGAAAGTGTGCGGGTCTTCAGGGTCCTTTCTGGAGAATCCTGATGCAGGGTAACTATGCTGGCAAAGAGGTTAGTGCTGAGGAGTGTTTCATGAGAAAACTTGGCATGTCTTCACTCTGCTCACTAGGAGCTGAGCAGTGTTACTTGGAGTTTTGCCAGTGAAGAAGCTATCATTTTGTTCTGTTTCAAATATTATGCTGCTGTCACCTATATTTTACAATCGGGGCATAGGCCACTAGTTGTCCACTGAAGATCCACCATTATCCTTCTTACCAAGGAAACTCAGGTTTTGGTTGAAAGCTACAAAAAAATTACATTTCTCAAGCAATCTTGCTGATAATAGCAGCCAGTGATGCAGTTCCAGCCAATAAAACGCAAGCAAAAGTTGGGCTACTGAGAAATGCTTTAAAATGGCATGCATTCAAACTGGAAGGCTCTGCTTTCCCTTTGGGCATTTTCCTTCTTGTTGTGGGGGACTGCAAGGACCATCTTGGAACCTAGAGAGGAAAACTAAGGGTTACAGCCTGACACCTGTGAACTGCTGAACAAATTCCAGCAGTATCCTATCTTCAATTCACATCAAATGTGAGTTACCTGAGAAAAGAACAAAATCTCTAATTTTGTGAAGCCAATGTTTAATAACTTTCTACTCTCTTAGCAATATAAAAACCCTTCTTGATTTGCAACAGGAAAGTGATATTTCCAACTAAAAGTTAAAAAAAAAGTCTTGCCTAAAGAACATTTCCCAATTCAAAGATTTAAGTAACTTCATATCATTATACTAATAAATCAAAGGTTGACAATGAAATTGTTTAACTCAAATCCATCCATGTCTTAAGGATCTGTCTATAAAGAACAAGAATAGCATCAATGATCAGGTTCATTAAATAAAGTAGCTGCTATTCAAGAAAATAAGAGGAATTTTTAAAAGCTTAATCCATCAGGAAGCATTTCTGAGCTCCTATTATGTTCTGATTACTTTCCAAACACAGGTGTCTGTCTGCCTTCTGAATATACAAGTTCCTGTATTCCTGTATGATAAGATGCTCACTACTCAAAATCAGATCAGCATTGAACTATTATCACTTTACTTATTTTGTGTAGACAAAATAAGAAATGGAGAATTGAAGAATTTATTTCACTGATTCAAGCAAAAAAGAGAATCTATATCAAAGACCTGTAAACTTAGCTCTTAACTTGCTCTTGTATGTGACATAGATATTGGACAATGGCATCTAACGATTTTAATTGTGCATTTAGTTTAAATAAGCATAAGTACTTCAGGCTAGCTGCAAAATTAAAAACAAAATACAGAACTCTGCAGATATTTTCTATGTACTATATTAGTCTCTTTAGTATTCTGAAAGTCCCTAGATTAGTAAATATGACTTAGAAAAAGGTAAACATTTCCAACTATCCTAAATCATTTAACCATTTAAATGCTTAACATTTTAATCTTTTAAAATTTAATTCTAATGCATTTATTTTGAAACTACAGACAAAATTGAGAACATGGAATGTCAAGTTAAAAATAGAGTATTGCATATTTCTTACTTACCTAGTTCCAAGTTTCCACCCCTGCAAGTGAACCAAAAACAAATCCTGGCACCTTGTCATTCCCAGAAAAGCCCATGAGTGCATGGCACACTCTGGGTAAATTTTATCTCTCATTCTGTAGAGTCACACCAGATGGCATCAGTCCTGCATCTACAGCTGTGCCCTAAAATTGAAGTTCAGGCATAGGAAACTACTTTATTAAACACTTTGGATTTTGCAGGTGTGCATGTGATGTCATTCCCATTCAACCCAAAATGGTTATCATTCCAAGTAGAACTACAGATCCATTGCACTTATAAGTTTGGAAACTAGTGAAACAATCAAGATTATCCTAGGAAGATCTGAAGTCATTTTGAAAAGCTGAAATTTAGAAACAAAAATGAAATAAAATAAAAATAAAATATTAATATTGAATTAGGGAATCTTGGCTCATTTCCTTTTAGTGTAAGAAATGCAACTCGCCTTCTAACATTAAAATTTTTAAATTAAAAATAAAACAGGAATATTTTATAATCAAGTTACACTTATAAAGTGAACAGTTATCTTAAATGCTCCTTACTTTTTAAATCCCTTAGTGTCTAACTCATATTTACCCTACCTTAAAAGTAGAGTAGACATAGTGATTATCACAACCAAGGTATCATCAGTGGCTGGATGGAAGTTTGGAACCTAGAACATTGTGGATGTCAGAGCAAGCATCTATAAAGGTAGACAAAATATGTGAGTTCAAACATAGTTCTGTTTCAAGAGATTAGTCTTGGAATGCTGGCCTTGGAAAAATGATGTTGAATAAAGGAATAAGAGAAGGTAATTCATATACAGGTGTCAAAAGTTTCAAAAAGCAGAGTCTCTAACAAAGAAAGGGCAAGGCAGGAAACCAACAGCAGCAAGTTTTGAGGGCAAATGGGAGGAACTTTAATTCCCAACTGTTTGGGTCAAGTTCCAAGCAAACTGGGATAATCTGAATACATATTCATTCTTGCTGAATGAACAAGAACTTAGTAACTAGTGAATTAGTTTACAAGGTGGTTATAAAATGGCATGGGACCCAAGATAGGAAGGCGAGCTCTCTCCTTTGTTAGGAACCTGAGTTGGGAGAGCCAGCAGAGAGGTTGGCTTACATCAAGATAACAAAAAACTACTCACCCAGAATCCTCTAGAGTTTCCCACTAGGAAGACTCAGGACACGTTAAGCTGGTGCACATCCCTGGGATTGATAGGAAGATTAAAGAATATTACAAAATCAAGAATCCAAGCAGGTGGTTAAAATCATTTGCATTCTGACTATTTATAAAGTATGAAATGATTGTTTGCTATCCTTATAAACAACCATAATTGCTAATTACTCCCACATTCATCTTCAATGTTCATGTTACCCATACAACCCAGTAACTAAATGCCACTGCAGAGATATCAACCAATTAGAGGACTATTGTTAAAGCACAATGCAGAATTCCAGCTGGAAATTCAAATTAAGTCTGATAGATGATGCAGAGGTGTAAATCTGCTCATGACATTAAGTTAAAAGAAACTGTTTACTTTATTTAAGAACAAGTTTATTTTGACAAAGTAAAATAGAAAATATGGGAAATCATCTAAATGTCACAGACCAAAAACTTTTCCCATAATCACTCGGCAAAGTGGGACTATTTTTTTCTTTGCTTTGAATTACCAAAATAATTTCTTCCATGTCACTTTTGTTTTATCGACTTAGGTAAAATTTAGTATTTCATTAGTTTTGGCCTCTCTATATGGCCTTGGCCTTCCTTTGTGTCTAAAATTAAGATTCCAAATAATATATAGATAGCTTGTTCCACCCTAATATTAGTAATCCCAAATCTGCCTTCACTGAAGATAAATTACATCTGTATTACATATTTCACTCCGAGGATCCCTGCCCTGTTTTCCAAAGAGCAGGATGATTACAAAAATTACAAACACTCTTACATCTCTACTTTCCATAATCCTCTACTTAGACACTGATTCTCTGAATGAGAAATCAGTTTGGCTTCTTGGTTCCAGCAGAAGCTCACCAGTTGCAAGTGGGAAGAGGACCTTTTAGTTCATGGTACCCATTTCCCCCATCCTGCACCTTCACTTCCACAGACCCTGGATCTTCCCAAATTTAACTCTTAGGGTTAGATCAGCATTAGGGCCAGGGCAACATGCAAGCATGCGTGGCTCTGACGTACACAGCTTCCACCTCCCACTCTCCCGGCCTTCTAGCAGGGTTCCGGGCAAAGTGGAACTGAGGTCCCTGGGGCACCAGCTAAGAGCGGCAGCTCCTCTCCAGGTGACATGAATCTAGGAAAAAGAATCTGGAAGATGAAGTTATTTCCCAAACTGACATTGACTGGCCAATGGTTAATGTGCACAGGTGAGTTTACTGTTGCCCTTCAATCTTTCTGCAGAAGCTCTTACCGTTGACTCTCACCACCACAAGGACTGCTTGCTGGCCCTCTTTTTCCTGCTGCCCTACACCATGTCCAGGACCCTACAAGCCATCACCAAAAAAGGTCACGGACCAGCCAACCCAAAGGCACTTGCTGAATGACTACTCCAATGTTGTCGCTCTGCTGTCTCAGAGCCTGAGCTCACCCTGCGCGGCCACCTGCAGGCTAGAATCCCAGTAGAGCTCTTGGGGTAGGAAGGAATTGTCTCTCCCCAGCACGGCTAGTACAAGTCCATTTGCCGCCCGCCGGAGCGCAAATACTACATTTCATCAAATGTGCCCTCTTTCCTCCGACTGCCCTTCCCAAAGCTCAATCATTTGGAATACTTAGGTTGATTTTGTTTGAAGAGGCTACACTGACTTAGCTAAATAATATAATTTCCCACCTCACGACTACAAATGCAATTGGTCTGGAAAGAAGAGGTCGCGGGTGCCCCAAACCATCCAGCCTCCAGGGCTAACCTCTCTTTGATCCGTCTCTCCTCGGCCCGGACCAGGCTCCCTGGAGAAACGCACAGCACCAGGCCAGACCCGGTACACCCCGCGGTCCATTGCACGCGAGCGCGCTACAAGCCCGGAGCCTCCAGGAAAGGCAGTCACCTCCATCCCTCTGTGGCTCCCGCGAGCGGCAACCGACCTGCACTGCCGCCAGCCCCACACCTGCAGGCGAGGAGACAGCGTGGATGAAGAAGCGAGGCAGCCGGGCGCCCTCCGGCCGGAGCCCGCGCTCGGTTCACACCGCCTGCTCGTGGTTGAAGCCCCAGGGCTCGCGGTGCAGAGAGAGGCGCCCTGGCTGGAGCGTCCCGGCCGTGCTGGCCACGGAGTTCTTCAGCTGCTTGATGACCACGAAAAGCAGGAGGAAAAGTAGGAAGAGCAAAAAGAAGAAGAGGGCGAGATAGAGCAGCAAGTTCAGCTCCCACTCCATGCTGGAGGCGCCGGAGGCGCCGGGTCCGGCGGCCGCGCGCTCAGCGCCGGCTGTAACCGCAGGGCTAGGGGCGCTGCCCGCACCCACCTCCCGCTCCCTTCCTCGCCGCCCGGGCTCAGCGCTCCGCCTCTCCCAGCTCTGAGGACCCCCGCCAAGAGGCGGCTGGAATCCTGGCTCCGACTTGCCGAGCGACCACAAGAGCCAGCAGCTTCCCTGAGATCCTCATCTGCGCTCTTGAGGGCTCGAGTGGGTTTTTCTAGGAGCGAACTTCAGCGGGCGGGGACACAGGAGAGGTAGCAGCTCAGGCTCCCGTGGTGTCGGGGTTGGTGTTCTTCACATGATAGAGGATTTTCACTGCCAACATTCAAGATGGTCCCCAGCCCCCTCACTTTCTAATTGATTCTCCTGGTTATGTCCCCTGTTCCAGCTTTCCGGAAAGGTAGGCGATGACTTGGCCCAGAGATGCAACAGGATTAAAGGTGCCTTCTGAAGGCCCATGAGATGACCTTGTGCTACGGGACGAATGACTGTTCAAGTTGCCTCGCTCTTCAGGGTTGCAGGTGCGCTCAGGTTGAGTGCCCTTTTCTTTAGACAACCCAGTCCTTAAGAAAAGCCTAAAAGGGCAAACGGCATGTCAAATTTTAATTGTACAAAGCTTTAAAATGACGGCTGCAATTAGTTTCTTTAATGATAAAACTGAGGGGAAAAGGATGTATAAAGTGTTCCATGATGCCTCTGACACCTCTCCGCGTTTGACTGAGGTCACCTGTAGCCCATATGGTTATGTCTGAAAGAAATTGTGTATGAATCACTGTGTAACAAGTAGCCGCAAATTAAGTGGCTTAAAACAATGTAAACTGATTATTTCTTGGGGCCAGGGTTGAAGGCAGAAGCCACACTGCTCCTTAACCATTCGCTTCTAATGTAACATGCTAACATTTCTGCAATATTATATTGGACACACAGGTCAGACCTATTCAGTGTAGGAGCCCAGAGATGGGAACACCAAGAGATAAAACTTATTGGGGACATCTCAGAATATGGCTATTGCAACAGGTTTTCATTTCCATTTCATGGACCACCAATTTTCTTTTATTTATTTGTTTGCTTTGCAACACTGCAGATTGAATCCAGGGCCTTTGCCCTGAGCTACATCTTTTCTCTGAGACAGGGTCTTGCTTTGTTGCTAACATGCCCATTCTGGGCTCAAACTTGTGATTCTCCTGCCTCAGTCCCACTAGAGTGCTGGCATTAATTGCACACACTACCACACCTGGCTTTCATTTCATTCTTTATTTGTGAAGATACACAAGAGACCCTGGCATGAGTTCAGTAAGTGAGGCCTGTCAAACATACACAAGATTACATAATGGGTAGTCTATAATAAGTATCTGTTCCAGTTATGGCAGCTTATTCAAAGAAATAGGAAGATATAGAAAGAGCTATGAACTGGAAGTTCCCAGGACCTAATTCTACTTTTGTCTCCATCTGATCATGGTCATTTTTTCTCTTCATCTCTCAGTCCCCTGATCTGTACCATATTTTGCTTACCTTTCCTTTGGATTTGTTATACAGGTCAAAAGTCAATGGGATGTTAATTAAGAAAGTGTTTTGCTATATAAATGTCAGGTACTACTATTCTATTATTATGGGGTCTTCCATGTTTCTAAGCTCTTTTACCAAACAGTCCCCTCAGGTAGGGATTGGAGATGAAACCCAAGCCTTGTGTATGCTAAGTAAGTGCTCTGTTAATCACCTAACTATGTATGGAATCTCTCTCTCTCTCTCTCTCTCTCTCTCTCTCTCTCTTTCATATTATAATGGTCCACTTCATAGGCAGCAGTATGTTAGAGCTGGCTTATAATGACTCACAAGAACTGATTGTTAAATTTTTCAAGCCAATTGTTAAAACAAAGCTATTATTAGAAATTAAATCACATAAATTCACAAATAAATTATGTTAAGAATAAAGGTAATAGATGCTCCAAAGTCATCATCTCCTAATTACTACATCCATCTTTATCAATGCACTTGAGGTGATATGGCCCTGTTGTAGCTTATGGTACTGGTGCTACCTGTTACTGCACATATCTTTCCATCTATATCCAGTGATGAATGTTGGTGGCTTGGAATTGGCCAGGGTGATACCAGTTACTTTGAAGAAATGCTGTAAATCAGGACCAGAGAGTCAGTCATTAAACATTAACAGCACACTGCTACATCCTGGGTTATGAGGAAAAATTTGAAATCATATATAAGTTTAACAAAGATGTATTATTTTTCTGACTTCCCAGAATCCACACACCTCCACCCTAAGCACCACATGTTCTTCCTGGTGGAATTCTCCATTTTATATAATCTTGGCAAGAGAACAGATCCCAGTGCCTGCCTTCCGTTGCCTCTTCCCATTATGGAAACCAAGAGGATAGGATACAGCTTCTACCCAGCCCCGAGACAGCATGGGGAGGAGGGCAGGAAGAACCATTGCAGAAACGCAGCCAAACACCCTTCATTCCAACACTTCATTCCAACGCCTGGGAATGGCAGAGCCGGAGGGAATGAGTGGGGGCATTGGATGCATTCCCGTTGTGTTGTTCTGAAAGCCGGAATGACCCCAGGAATGGCATGGACATGGCTCCTTTCTACCTCTACAGCACACTCCATCCCTTTCCCAAACACAGCCCTCCTGCTTCTTTCTATTCTAAGCTATTCTTTCTATTTCTAAGCGTTCTCTGGTTTTCTAGGAAGTTGCCTCTTACTGTGGCTAGGCTGAGTGTTAATGCCAGCTTGCAGATGAAGATGCAGAAAGCATCTCTCACACACTGTGCAGAGGACAAGCATGCACAATCAACAAGGTATTGGACAGAAAATGCATATGCTTTTGGGCACATTGCTGACCAGACAGTCAAGCCTTCAAAGGATGAAAATTAAATATGGAGGTTAAGTTACCTACTGAAGGCTACACAGCTGACAGACCACAGCGACAGAACCAGGATATGACCCAGGGATTTGGCTCCAGAGCTGGCCCTCCCATCCCCTCTGTTATTCTACCTTACAAGGAAAAGCACACTTTTCATGTGCATGATCATCAAATCATTGCTACATTTTTTCTTTGGAGCATCAATTTAGAAAAAAAAATTCAAGAGATACATACCTTCTGCTTATTTATATGTCAGCTCCTTCTTTGAAGTCAGGAAGGTCAAAATTTCAGATGAGCTGTTGTTTGCCTGCAGAATGCTGAGCAAAGAGACCAAGAGATGAAGGTTTTATGTCATCAAGCTGAAACCCACTTCTGCTTTCCTAACCGCAACTATTTACATTACCCATTTATCTTAGCAGCTTAAATGGATTTATAAATATTAACTAATAAATCCTCATCTCCACTCTCAATAGAATTTGGATTTAAAATAATATTGCTGCCACAAAAAAATACCATTACATTTATTTGATGCTCCCAGTGCTTTTTAGCCTCTGGCGGTATTTATATACCTCCTAAGATGGTCTGCAGTTTGGTTTCCATTATGTAAATGACTCCATAAAAATAAGACACAATCTTTCTCTTTCTAAATATGGACATTAATGAAAATCCATGGAGAGAAAACCCAAGCACTTTAAAGTGCAGGAAGGATGCCCACCATAGATAAGAGCTTAACTAGTTTTGGTAATTAAAAAGAGGGCCAAATGCCTATAATGCCAGTTACTTGGGAGGCTGAGACAGAAGGATAAAAAGTTTAATCCTGGGCAATTTAGCAAGACCATGTTTCAAAATAAGAAATAGCGCATGAGACCCTGGGTTCAGTCCTGGGGAGCAGGTGGTCAAATACAGAGATAGAGACAGAGAGAAACAGAGAGACAGAGACAGACAGAGAATGAGAAGGCACTGGTAAGGTGGGGGGAGCTTTGTCACATTGTTTCAAGCCACTGCCCACAGACTGGATCCCACACATGTTCCCACTTAAAACAGCATGCTTGTTCCACCTTGTCTCCCCCTCGCAGTCCAGGCTTCATGCATCTCTCAGCCCTTCAGTCTCCTTTCCACAGGTCTCAAAACAACTGTATGCTACACTGTGGCTCCCTGGGTTCAGACCTGTGGACTCTAGGACATGGACAGGGTTCCCATCATTTTGCCTGCTTTGTTCCTCCCACAAACACGCGCACGCATCTATGACGCGAGTCTTTTTCTTTTTATCATGACAAATGTTGCAGGTATTTATGAAAACTGACTTATACTAGCAATAGAAGAGTTCATTTATCTTGTAAAGTCCATCTCCAAAGGGTCTAAACCCTTTAAAAAAGCACCCAGAAAGGGCTATAAAAGTTTGCTTTTATAATCCCAGGAGAACCCCTACCTGGACTTACCTATTGGAGCCATCTGCAGGACGGAAGCAGTTTCAGAAGAGCAAGAGTGGGAGAGTAGAGAAAAAGATTCCCATGCGCCTTTATGAGGTTGATTTAACTTGGTCTAAATGAGTGAGAAACGGAAGAAATGTTTGCATCATGCTCTGGGCTTGAGATATGTTTTTGACCCTGATGAGTAAGACTGGATTCTTACATGAGTGCACATTTTCCCAGGTATCTGCGGCCCACATGGATGGCTGCTGCTTGGGTGGGATGTCCTTTAAGACACCCATTCATGTTCTAGGGATGAGGTCCATACTCTCTGGAAGCTTCCAGGCCCTGGGACACTGTTCTAGCTAGTCAGGGCCTGAATCGGCCCCAGTGAGCCTGGTGCCCCTACAGGACTCAGATGTATTCCAGCCACACTCTCCTTGTCTCTCTGACACCCTCATTGCCATTGCTTCTGCCTCAGACACACATTTCTAGGAAAGGCAGAGTGAGCCCCTTAGGAATCGCCCTGTTTACACTCCTCATATCACTACACCCTTTTAGAAGAGAATTAGAAAATGTATGAGAATGTTCACTGCTGTTGGAGAGCAGTAAAGTGAACTGTTCTCCTAGCTAGAATAATGTAAATCTCATCAACCAGCACTTATTGTAACACCCCAGC